GAGCGCGGCGGGCGCGGGCTCCTGAGGACGGCGCAGGGACTGGGCTCGAGCCCCGGCCCCCGGCCTGGCCGCCCTGCCTCGCTTCCGCCGCGGCGGGCATGAGCCGGGCTCCGAGCCTCTGACTCCCGGGCGGCTGGACGTGGGCGCCCGGCATGGGGGTGAACGCCGTGCACTGGTTCCGCAAGGGGCTGCGGCTCCACGACAACCCCGCGCTGAAGGAGTGCATCCGGGGCGCCGACACCATCCGCTGCGTCTACATCCTCGACCCTTGGTTCGCCGGCTCCTCCAATGTGGGCATCAACAGGTGGCGGTGAGTGCGGGGCCGCCTGGGAGGATCGCGGGCTTGGGAGCGGTTCGGGGTCGTAGGTGCTGGGAACGCGGAGCAGAATCGGCTTCCTAGCGCCCGGGCGGAGAGGACCGGTACCGGAGCACGCTGGCCTTCGCGGCAGCTCGTGCCCCTCGGAGATCGATCCCCGGTTTGCGACTCATCTAGTGGTGGAGTTAGGGAGAAAAAAGCTGTCCCGGACTTCAGTGGCCTAGGGGCTGAGTCCTTTGACTCCTTTGTGGCCCTTGAGAGGATTGTGGCTGTGACGTTTTCGGTTCTGGGTGTCTCATAAGTCGTAGTATAAAGAAAAATCATTCATTTGGTACAGTGAGTTCCAAACCCAGTTTTCTTCCCCCTGGAGGTTACTGTAGGAAAAGCAGGGGAAACGGCCTCGGCTGGTTTCCTCTCCGCTCAGCACTTCCAACTCCTCCTTGTGGTTGACACGACAAAGCACAGTTTTTTTCTTTCTAGGCAGAGTGTGGTCCTTCTAGGCATCTGCATTGGGCGAAATCCTAGCGACGTTTTATGATCTTTCCCTGGGGAATCCGGGCTAGCAGATTGTTAGGCCCCCTGGTGGAAGTGAGAGCGTTTCTTGGAGGGCTGGATTACTCATCCCTTCCTGTAGGTCGGGCGGCGAATTCACTGTCCAGAGCATGGCAGTGAAGGAATAGAGTGAAAGTGTTGTCCTCTTGCAAGCTTGTGTTCCGGGAAGTAAAATATATGTTTAGTATTTCAGGTGGTGATGAGTGTGGGGCGGAAGAGAAGGCAGAGGAAAGGGATAATGAAACAAGGGTAGGGCTGGGTTGCAGTTGTAAGTATGATGATCCACGTGAAAATCACAGAGAAGGTGACTGCAGAGCAGGGGAAGTATGGAGGGGAACCTTCGGGCTCAGGGACCAGTAAGGGAACAGGCCCTGCCGTGAGCTGGCCTTGACCTTTGGAAGGAACAGCAGAGGGAGCCAGTATGACGGAGCGCCGCAAGTGGAAAGTGGGAGGCGTGAGGTCAGAGTTGTAATAGGGCCAGACGGAATAGAGCTTTATAAGCGGTTATCAAGACTTGTGCTTTTACTGAGAGTGAAATAGAAATAATTGCAGGATTATGAACAGAGATGACGTGGTCTGACTTAAGTCTGAAAAAATCTCTGGTTGTGGTTTAAGAACAGGCTGGATTAGGGAGTGGAAAAGAACAAGTAGGAAGACAACCATTGCATTCCTCCAGGTGAAAGATTGCGGAGAGGCAGTGAGAAGTAGACGCTGAAGCAGGACGCACAGAATTTGTTGGTAGCCTGGATGTGTGGCATACGAGAAAGAAAAGGAGTTGGTAGTGATTTCAAAAGTGTCGACCCCAGGAACTAGAAGTAGACTGCACTGTGCTAACAAACTAAAGCATTTGGGAAGGTGGCTTGCATTCTGTTTTGGACTTCGTGGAGAGGTCGAGATACTTTCTGCACATCTCAGTAGAGACAGTAAATAGACAGTTGGATCTATCTGGAGCTCAGGACGTAGATCCAGACAGGGAATATAAATTGAGGGGTTTATAGCTCATAGATTATAAATAGCCATTTATTCATCCATTTACTGAACAGATATTTGTCAAGCATCTACCACGTACGAGGTGCTGCTTTAGGTATAAGGGATTCCACATAAAATAGCCAAAAATCCTCACCCTGTTTGGAGCTGCATTCTAGAGGATCCATGAGACTGCATGAGAAGATTAAGAAAGTGAGTGGAACATGCTTCACAGGCCTTTGAAAGTGCAAGGCCATGCTGGGCAACGTATCCAGACCCTGTCTCAAAATAAATAAAAAGGGCTAAAGATACAGCTGGACACTCTTGGTTCAACCCACACCACCACCAAAAAAATAAAATAGAATTTTAAGGAGACAGTTCAAGGCCTGAGTGACGCATGCTCTCAATTCTCAGACTGGAGTAGCTGTGGAAGAACTCAAGTAGGAAGCCAGGTTACAGTACTGCAAGGAGGAGAGAGTAGTTCACCTGTGTCAGGTGAAGGTGAGAAGTCACATAAGACGAGGACTGACAAGGAAGTGCTGTTCTTGGCATTTGCAAGTTCTCAGTCTTGTCTGTGTTGGTTTCTGCTGAGGGAAGTCTTTATGAAGTGACCAAGACTTCACCCAGTTCAATGCTTTTCTTAGCCCACTATTTTTTTTAGTTAATAACTTTGTATTTAAACACATTTATTAATTTGGTTATTACCTTAATAAGATATTGCCTAGACTCCTCTGCCTGGTGTCTAGGACCTACTTTTCAGCCTGGATTCTCCTCTTCTAGTTGCAGCATGTCACCTCAACTCCACGGGGAAACTTTCCTCGTTTTCCTTAAATGCTATCTTGTATTTCCTTTAAATAATATTTTTTAGATTTTTTGAATTAAGAGAAAAAATAGTTATTTTACCAAATAAGCGCATTAACAAAACAGCCTTTTCATGTTGTCATCAGTTTCCTCTTTAAGAGGGTGTTTTAACACTGAATTTCTTAAGGACATTGTACTTCAATTTGAATAAATTTAGCCCTGAAAATCCACATTTTTATAGAAATTCTAAAAATTAATGCAAAAGTGTATAGCAGTGTTCGTAGAAGTATTACTCATAATAATCAAAAGGAAGAAACAAGCCAAATATTTAGCAACTGATTAATGGATTAAAAAGTGTGAATCCCTATTGTAGGCTTGGTTTGGCCATCACAAGGCATGATGTATAGGTCATGCTATGTCATGTATGTGTGAGTCTGGAGAGTCCAGGGGTGGAAGAAGCCAGCCACTGAACTCCGCATGTACGCATCCCACCTAGTCACACAGAATGTGTGCAGCGGGCAGCCAGAGACAAAGTAGAGCTGAGGCCATCTAGCTGGGGAAGCTGGGGAAGTGGGAGATGATACCTAAGTGGCACAGCTTTAAAGTTTTATTATTTTTAAGTGATGAAAAGGTTCTAGAAAGCAATGACTGCAAACCTTGATAAAAATCCATTAAATTATACACTTGAAAAAATTCTAATTTATGGGGGGAAAAAGCCTGAACAATTACCTTAAAAAAAAAAAAAAAAGAAAAGAAAAGAAAAGAATCTTTGCTGATTCTTTGTATGCTTTCCTGTGTTTTGGAACTTTTCATGAAGTCTCTGCCTTCACCTGTGTCTTCAAGATTACAACCTCTTCTTTTCTAGTAAATTTGGTGTTTCTGTTTTAATATGTGGATCTTTGGTCCATTTTGACTTTTGTTTGGTGCATGGTGATAGACATCTATCCATCTATAGACGTGTATCTAGTTTTAGTTTTCAGAAAGACAGTACTTTCAGCACTATTTGATAAAGAGACTATCTCTCTTTAAAAAAAAAATTCTAGCTGGGCATGGTGGTACATGCCTATAATCCCATCTACTTTGAAGGCTGAGGCAGGAGGATCCTAAGTTCAAGGCGAGCATGGGCAACTTATTGAGACTGTCTCAAAATAAATCACTGAGAGTGTTTGTCCAGTATGTACGAACCTTTGGGCTCAGTTCCCAGCACTGAAACACGCACACACACAAAAAAACTAGTTCTTTAAGACCCTGCCAAAAATGTATTACCTTTTTGGTAATACCATTCTCTGTTTTCTGGCCTCAAGTAATCTGAGCTCCTATATCATTTTTTCACACACTCTTAGTATTTACTGCTTTCATGTGTGAATATTGGTATTGTCTTGGTTTAGGCTGCTGTAACAAAATACTTTAGATTGGGGAATTTATAAACGCTAGGAATGTACTTCTCTCAGTTCTAGGAGCTGGGAAGCCCAAAATCAAGGCTGCAGCAGACTTTGCATCTAGCAGGAGCCTTCTGCTGCTAGGTGTAGCTGTGTGTCCTGACTTGGTCAAAGGTGAACTCAGGCCTCCTATAGGGTTACAGATCTCGTGATCCAAGCACCTCTTAGCACTGTCACGTTGATGATGAGGTTCTAACAGAAGAATCTGTGAGGACCCAACATTTAGACCATAGCATGCGTGGCCTTCATATAATCCTTCCTCCTCAAAGTAGCAGATTAATGTTAATTACTCATCCATTATTTAACAAATATTTGAATCCCTGCAAAGTGTGTCAGTCACTTTGCTTATGTCTGTGGGTTAAAAGATAGCCAGCAGATTATTTCTTTGCTTTCAGGGAGTTGACAGTAGGGAGAGAAACTTATTCAGAAAGAAAACAATGATAAAAGTGCTTTCTTCTCTCTTCATTAGTTTGCTGGTGTCACTGATTATGTTTGCTTAAATTGCTACAGAAATCTACGATTCATTGTCTATTCTAATTCATTTTCTGCACAGCAACTACAGTGATCATTTAAAATAGAAAAATTGATCATATAATTTATGCTTTCAAATCCTTCAATGACATTTTTTCTCCTCCCTTAAAGTTCAAAAAACCATAGTAGAGTTTTAAATTGTGGTACAACTGGCCTGTTTTATATAGTTTTTCTCCTATTTTGGATAATTTTTTCAGCGGCATTTGAACTAAGCCTTAAAGTTTGAGGTACATTTTAGCAAAAGAAAGAAAAGAATTATAAGCCAGGAAATGAGTTCCAGAAGGAAAGAACAGCATAAGGAAAGGCATAGAGCTCTGAGCCCGTGGCGGAGGTTTGCATAGTGGAGTGATGGGTGCATGCAAAAGTAGGAGGGGCTTAGTGCTCTTTGCTGCTTGGTTTCTTTAATCAGATGCACTCAAGCAAAGGAGGGTTTATCAGCAGGTGGAGCTGAAGCATCCGAGAGAAACCGGAGCTGACATGGGTAGAGAACAGGCTCAGAAGAGGTCTGGGAGCAGGTCTCTCTTGCTGTCTGTGCTTTACTCTTTCTTTCTGCCTTGGGTTCCCAGACAGGCTGTCCTCTGGTGGTAAATATAGCAATGACAGTAGCAGTAGATGCAGTTTTTAAAAAATCACAACAACAGAAAACAAAAAAGTGAGCAAAACAATGTCTGCCCAGAAGTCCAAACAAAAATCTATAGCTTTATA